TAAATGCAGGTGAGCGCATAAATAACGAAAAGAAATGTCTCAAACTTCAGTTACTGGACATCCACTCACACCTGATCGATCCTACAAGACACATGAAACAGACAGGATAGTGGCTCTTTCTGCAGGAGACATGCACAGTAGACCGTGGTGAGAGACGAGGGTTGAGGCTGAGGAAGATGCTCGTTTGATTGTGTTCTGAACAGTTATTATTTTGTGGAAAATACACAAAGAAATACAGATGACGCAGCTTTTCAGTTAAAGATGATTGATGTGGTTGTGGAAGAAGTAAACAGAACTGCTGCATGTGAACTCAGCATCAGTGAGTCGATGGTGAGATTTTGGCGACGGCAGTGTGACGAACTGACTCAACGCAAAAAGAAGACAAAAGCTTTCAGAGTTGATAAAAGCGGACGGCCTGAACTTGAAAACATTCTTGAAGACGTGGACACTTGCGGCTTATATCCAGGTGCGGCTGATATATGCACATGTTTTTCTTTCTTTTAAAATGTAGTTGATGCAGCGTGTAGTCAGATGTGCTCAATAGTCCGGGAATTACGGTAATCATTACAGCAGGGAGAGAGCCTGCCCACTGAACTGTCCACGTCTTCACAGCTTTGTAACCCTGGCATGGTGGGCGGGTTTGTTGACTCCAGCGCCCACGTGGCTGCAGGATCCGGATGGTGCTTGCCTACGTTGGGTTAACTCCACCCCCCTCTCTTCCTGCAAGTCCAGTCGTAATAATTGCAGTTTGTTTTGACCATGTGCTGATGTGGCGGAGGTGTTTTTTTGTGTATTGGTCCCAGATTATGCTCCCAGAGAACCCCCCAAGTCATACTGTATTCGATTCCTTTGTATGTCTAGTATATAAATAAAATAAAAGACATTCTGATCTGATTCTGATGATCAAATCAAAGCAAGTGCCTCAATATGATGTCACAGAGATAAAGGAGCAGTCAGTTGACTGTGTGGACTCATAGAAGTATCTTGGAGCACTCACTGATTAAAATTTGATGATAATTGTCCTGTTGTGTGTAAAAGAGGCACCAGCGCCTTCACTGTCTGAGAAAGTTTTCCTTTTACCATGTAGACAGAACCATGATGACACTGTTTTAGAAAACATTTATGGAATCAGTTTGAACATTTTCATTGGTCTCATGGTTTGAGCATTTCAGCTAAAAACAAGAACTCCCTGATTCAGTTGGTTAAATGGGTGAGTAAGGTGATTGTCCATCCTCAGAGCCGCCTGGACTCTCTGGACTCAAGACACTTACAGAGAATGTCCCAGAGTATTTTAAAAGACGTGCAACATCCATTAAACTCAGAGTTTCTGCTGCTTCCCTCTGGTCAGACACTTTTAGTCCCAAGATCTAGAACAAATCGTTTTAAAAGAAGCTTTGTTTCGGCTGCTATTGTACTTATGAATAAAGTGTAATCTGTTTATCTAAAGCAGGGATGTCCAAACTTTTTTTATTTTTTTTTTATTAGGGATCACATATCTAAACACAGATGAAGCAGAGGGCCAATCGAGGGCCATAGACTGGTGCTCAATACAGTGAATAATTGAAATATGTGCAGGTTTAAACACGTTAGAATGAGCCATCAGACTTTATTCATGCTAAGATCCTTAAAACCACACACTAAATATTAGATATTAGTTTTATTAAGGTAGATTTAAAAAAACAAATCAAAAACAAAACTTGCAGTAATAAGTATATTTTTAATTGATGCAAGGTAATTTGGGCCAGTTCACCTGGAAGCTTGAGGGCCAAGAAAAAATTGTCTGAGGGCCGCATTTGGCCCACGGGCCATAATTTGGACATGCCTGATCTAAAGATTGTGTGTTTTTAACATATTTAATATTTATTGTGTATTTTAGCCAAGCATGATGGATGAATTTAACAAATTGTTTATGGAACAAAACATAGCTCTGTAACACTGTAACACTTTATTTTGTAATTGTGTTTTTATACATGTTTTTTACACATAATGTGGATGAGTGAAATGTGAAATGTGGAGTCTGCCTCTCAAATCTGCGAAACAAATTTACCTACGGGTATGAATAAAGCAACCTAACACAACCTAACCTAAAAAAAATGCCTGCTGTGTGTCCTGACCTGTGCACAGACTCCAGCAATGCTACGTGCAGAGAGGAAAGGTTTTACGAGCCCCGATCACACCGCGATCACACCACTATCAGTCTGAACCTTCTGCTTGGTGTGGCTTGGCCGTGGTGCTGCTCTGAGCGCTCGAACCTGATCTCTTCTGAATGTGCACGGAAGGAAAAGTGAATTCTGCCATGTGCACAAAGCTTTTTGTTCAGCTCACAGAATTCAATTTTCTTTAGTGATGGAAGTACCTTGATGACCGAGGGATTACACACACATCTACAGACCTGCTGGAATGTTCTAGCACACAGGGCCAGCTCTGTGTACAGGCGGACTGAACAGCGGCCCCACGGTCACTCGTAATAAAACAGTACTTCTCAGAGTAGTTTTCATTCCCCATTCTTCATTCACATCTTCCATATTTGCGAAACAAACGAGCAGCTGAGGTTGGACCAAACCACATTACAGTTGTTTGATCCCTTTATGGTCCGGTCTAGACTTTTCTGCAGTCTAAACGTCTAGCTGGAGTCTAGGTGGTCAGGAGATACATGGGTTAGAATGTTGATATAATTCCAATACAACTTCAGTAGGTGTTAGGCCTCAGTTAATATTAAAGGTTGTTTTAGTACATGTGTCCTCACCTGGATTTTTTTCTTAATGTTGCTGTTAAACTTCCCGTTTTACCCCCTAATGAAGTGTTATACATGTTTTTGTTTTCAGTACAACCTGTTATTTCACAATCTGCTGCTGGAGTTGTGTCATATGGCTGTAATAAAAGCTACAGAACCAGAAATACAAATGAAAAAAAAAAGGAAAATAAATAAATAAATATAATCACACTCTTTCATACAAAACACACAGCAAACATGTATAAACAACTTTTTGGACATAAAAAAGAAAATGCTTAATTTACGGCCTTAGCTACAAAAGTGCAAAATATCAAGTGCGTAAGTAAACTCAAAAATATCCTTATTGCCTCAAAACAAAACAAAACAAAAATACAATGGCCCCATAACTTTCCTGGTGCCAGTCATGGAAACAAGTCGTGTACAGCAAGGGATGCACAATTACACAGACCAAGATGCGTAATTTTCCATTTATTTGAGAAATATCTGCACCTAGAGCTTTTTTTTTCAATTGTTATAAACACAGATGCTCAGAGCATCAACCATTTTGACTCACTACACTCTTTGGCAAAGTTTGGCCCAATCAAAATGGACGGAGCGCATGAGTTTGGCGGAAAAAAAGTTCCTATTGGACACTTGTTTTCCCTACGTCATCACACAGTGTGTCGTCGGATAATGCAGGAAATATTCTCTGAAAGCCGCTTTTGTCCGCCTTTCAAAGGGAAAAAATAAGTTTCTATCTTTCATGATTGGAAAGTAATGCGTGGTTATTGTTACGACCCAGCTCGTTTGGGGTGAGGGAAGTAACAAAAATAAAACCAAGATGTAAAATGGAATAAATTAAGTAATGTTTAATTAACAGGAATGTAAAGGTAAATTAACAAAACACTAAAAAATATACAGACAACAACCTAAACTAAGAAACAGAACAACAGAATAAACAGAGTTTTGTGCCAGAAAAGGGCTCACGCAGGCTTACACAAAAACGAGTGGTAAAACTTAGGGACACACACTAAACTAAAACACAAGTTCCCCAAATTAAACCACATAAACCCACAAACAGAATCGAGTGACCAAATCAAAAAAGGCACAAAACAGAATGAGACTAAACTACATACACAAAACCAAAATGGCATACTGGCCACCAAGGCCAGCAGCCCCAAACAGGTGCTGGCAATCTCCTTAAATAGGGGGAGGTGGCTGCAGGTGAGGTGGGCGTCGACTTGCCCCACCAATCACAGACCAGGACTCCTGCAGCAGGAATTAGGAGAACTTCGCAAAAATCACACAGCAAATTAAACCTAAGGCCTGGGGCCGTAACAGTTATATAAAACATATTCCTGTTTATCGTATATAAACAGGAAGAGATTTATGCAACTGCTTTCTTTATGTTGCACACAATGGATGATTTGAGTGGATGTTATTCAGAGTCAGAGCAAGGCTGCGTTCTTTCAAGCAGGTGAAGCTATTTACATTTTCATTCTTATCATGTCCTATTATTTATGTGTGTGTGTGTAGCACAGTATAGTTGTAGTGTGTGTGTTTGTGTGTGTGTGGTACTGTATAGTTGTAGTGTGTGTGTGTGTGTGTGTGTGTGTGTAGCACAGTATAGTTGTAGTGTGTGTGTTTGTGTGTGTGTGTGGTGCTGTATAGTTGTAGTGTGTGTGTGTGTGTGTGTGTGTGTGTAGCACAGTATAGTTGTAGTGTGTGTGTTTGTGTGTGTGTGTGGTGTATGTATAGTTGTAGTGTGTGTGTGTGTGTGTGTGTGTGTGTAGCACAGTATAGTTGTAGTGTGTGTGGTGTGTTGTGTGTGTGGTGTGTGGTGCTGTATAGTTGTAGTGTGTGTGTGTGTGTGTGTGTGTGGTGCTGTATAGTTGTAGTGTGTGTGTGTGTGTGTGTGTGTGTAGCAAAGTATAGTTGTAGTGTGTGTGTTTGTGTATGTGTGGTACTGCATAGTTGTAGTGTGTGTGCTTGTGTGTGTGTGGTACTGTATAGTCGGGGTGTGTGTGCTTGTGTGTGTGTGTGTGTGTGTGGTGCTGTATAGTTGTAGCGTATGTGCCCGTGTGTGTGTTTTACTGTATAGTTGGGGTGTGTGTGTTTGTGTGTGTGTGTGGTACTGTATAGTTGTAGTGTGTGTGTGTGTGTGTGTGCGTGTGTGTGTGTGTGTGTGTGTGTGTGTGTGTGTGCTGTGTGTGTGTGTGTGTGTGTGTGTGTGTGTGTGTGTGCGTGTGTGTGTGTGTGTGTGTGTGTGTGTGTGTGTGGTACTGACTCGAGGAAGCGTGTGATGTAGTCCCGGCTGCAGGGGGACCACTTGGGCACCGAGGTCCCGTAGAGGAGTTGAGGGGACATGACAAAGGGCCTCTTCCCCACAGGCTCACAGTCGTTGCCGCTGCCGTCGTGTTGGATTCCAAAGCTGCAGCAGCAAACACAGAGTGAAGTTAGTGTTTGTGTCTGAGCTACAGTTCTAATCTATGAAACATGCACCAATCACTTGAAATATAACTTCAAGAACAGAAATGAGTAGAAAACAACTATAACATTGTTAAAAGCTCTGAAAAGTCCATTTTGCAGAACAGCTCTGCTTTTAAAGTTCAGTATATAACTTTTTGGAGGTGGCATGTCAAATACAAAGTTAAAAGACATATACATTTGAAGCTACACTGTGGAAAAGTGCTGTTATTTTAGCTTTTTTTTTTTTTTTTTTACATCCTCTGTCTTTAATGTAAACTTCATTTTCCACCAGAGTAGAGATGAGCCTGGTTCACACCTGTCCCCTCATCAAATCTGAACAATCAGTGAATAAAAGACAGAAACGTCTGGTGCATTTCAAACAAGTGTGATGCCCTGTGCACATACACACACACATACACGCATATGCATACACATACACACATACACAGACACACACATACACACAGACACACATACGCATTCACATACACATATACATACATATTTGCATACACATACACATAAACACTTAAACATACACTTATACATACACATGCACATACACATATACACAGTGTTGGGGAGTAACAGATTACATATACAGGAATTACGTAATCAGAGTACAAATTATGAGTAACTGTATTCAGTTACAGTCACTGTTTCAGTGAGAGGTAATTGGATTACAGTTACTTTGTTGAAATAAACGGATTACATGGATTGTGGTATTTTCCTGTTTTCACATTTTGGGCTATACCCCCCCCCCCCCCTTTTTTTTCTTTTTTTTTCCCGGTAATTCCACCCATTGCTGGAAACTAAACCAGGACTAAAACCAGGTCTAAACTAGATCTAAACTAGATCTAAACCAGGACTAAACCAGATCTAAACCAGGACTAAAGCAGGTCTAAACTAGATCTAAACCAGGACTAAAGCAGGTCTAAACCAGGACTAAATCAGGACTAAACCATGTCTCAAACAGGATTCAACAGGACTAAATCCTGCTGTGTGGACGTGTCTCCTCTTCTTCTATCAATAATATTTTTAATATGGTTTAGTAAAGTCTGGGCTTTTTATTTTCTTTTATCAGACAAAACATCTTATGTGAAGATACTAGTCTTTGTTTCTCTACAGCAATTCAAGTAATCCAAAGTATTCAGATTACGTTACTCACCTTAAGTAACTTAATGGATTCCGTTACAAACTACATTTTGGGGTATGTAATCTGTAATCTGTAGGGGAATACATTTTAAAAGTCACCTTCCCAACACTCCATATACATATGCATACACATACACATTCGGTACACATACACATAGACATGCACACACACATACACAAGTACATACACATATGCAGGCACACACATGTACACACACACACACACACACACACAGAGCAGATTGGTGCTTATTTAAGCCGTGTGCATTTGGCTCGTCTGATTCTTCTCACACGTCTTTATTCTTGTGCAGACTCTCTGATGACATTAACCTAAACACGGAGGATCAGCAGCATCTCCAGTGACAGACTTAACCTAAGACTAATGGTGACCCAGAAGAGTCAAATGAATTTACATCTAAACATTTATACGAAAAATCACAAAATTCCAAAATGGAGCAAAACAAAAGTGTTTGTTTATAAATGTGCAGCCTACAATCATTCACACGGCATCTGTTTGTATTATTACAGAGTCAGGAAACACAGGATCCGCTGTGCTATTTCCAGACATTGTTATGTTTACAGCGGCTAAGGGCTGAGGCTGTGGGGAGATATATTTTAATGAGGATCCCTGTACTACTTATTGTAACCTTTACTTTTGTGAAACCTGAAAATAGTCACAAAGTCATTTGAAAATAGCACACTGGATTGTATTCGTGCCTGACAACAAGAACTGTCAGTGTGGAGCTGCCAATGCAATGAAATAACAAAAAACATAACAGAACAACATTTTGATCATATGATTTGTTTTGGGTTGCACAGGAAGATTGTGCAAACAATCACTTAGCAGAAGGTCCCAGGTTCTATTCCTGGACCAGATCAGGCTTCAATGGGACTTTCCATTTTAAAGGGACAATTTATCACAGTTCTGATTGAGGCTCTGCTGTCTGCTAGTCACTATGAAAATATTACTACTTTGCCTAAAATGTTACACAAATTAGGGTAATCAAAAGTATAAAAAATCAGATACTAATGGATAGTAAAAATAGTATTGAATCTAGATACTCATTTGAGCAGGTATTAGGGGTCATATCGTCAAAGTTCTCACAATAATATCGTGGACCATCACAATATATCGAATTACTAGTCTCTTTGCTTAAATGGAAGAGTTATGGTGCAGCATTAGCTAAAAAAAAAGACAGAGGGAACTACATAGACCATGATCCTTTGCTCCATTTGTTTATGTTGTTTATTGTTGTTTATTTCAACTACTAGTCATTGTCACAGAACAATGAAATTGCGTTTGGAGCATCCCATAAAGTGCAAACCATAAATAATAAATACCCCTTAAACCCAAGTGTAAACATTAACCCAGTGTGGCCACAGTACAACGTGAGACGGTTCTTATAGCAGCAAGAGACCTGAGAATCATGACAGAAAATGCAACAGTGCAACCAGCTCAGTGTTATTAAGGGTTGGATGTGGTTTTTGTCCGTGAGAGGGGGGCAGAGAGGGGCCAAGGGGGGAGAGGGGCAGAGTTCAGGAGCCTCACAGTCTGTTGATACAGACTGTTGGTTCAGTCTGGATGTTCTGGCCCGTATGGATCTGTACCTTCTCCCTGAGGGCAGCAGGTGGAAAAGGTGGTGCGCAGGGTGATCTTGGTCCCGCAGGATGTTGTGCACTCTTCTCAGACAGCGAGTGGAGTAGATGGTGCTGATTTCTGGCAGAGTCGTTCCAATGATTCTACCGGCTGCTTTCACCACCTGCTGGAGTCCCTGCTGGAGTGCCTGCTGGAGTGCCTGCTGGAGTGCCTGCTGGAGTGCCTGCTGGAGTGCCTGCTGGTCAGCCTTAGTGCAGCTGGAGAACCACACTAAAAATCCATACATCAGAACGCTGCTGATGGCACAGTTGTAAAAGTTCAACATCAGAGGTCTGGGAATGTGGGCACTCCTCAATTTCCTCAGGTAGTAAAGGCGCTGTTGGGCCTTCCGTACGGCTGCAGTGCAGACGACATGAAGAAATAACAGTTCTAACACTTTTAAGACTTAGTTCTTTGGATTAAATCTTGTCAAGGCATTTTAAGAGAAAAAAGTAGCATATTAGCCTCCGCAAAATATCAATAAATAGCAATAAATATCATACAGTTAGATGTATGTTTTGAAAATGTCGTACAGAGATTTGGATGTTGTTACATCCCTAATCGTGAGCCTCTCCACCATATTGTGAGTTTCCCACAATATCACAATAAATATGGCACTGTGAGGTTCATACCGTGATCATATTGTATCATGAGACTTGGATATCGTTACACCCCTAGCAGGTATTGATACTAGAAAAAACAACAACACATTGACAGGACAGAAATTAACCTTTCCTGAATGTGATGATGAGCTGCATCAGAACAAGTAGAAGAGCACATAGACTAATATATACACATGGACCAACATGAACCTACCGGACCACTGAGGTCATGTTCAAATCACTGTACTATTGTGTAAAGAAAGAGAGTTTTTTTAAAAGCTCCCATCTCACACAAAATCAACTTTTCAGAGCTTTCTACCTTCTAAGAGTGATGTGTGGGCCTTGTATGTGTCGCCAAAGTGTTTTTTAGATTGATTTGGTGTTTTTTTTTAACAAATTGCAGCGTATTTCTGCCTCCCTCCCACGTGACAACCAACTAAAGCTGCTACAACGATGACGCAGCAGCTACACCTATGACGTGTTTGATGTAGCGTTAGTCTGATGTCAGCTGACAATTCCCACATGAACACCTAAACAAAAGTGACAGCATAAGCTCATTGTTCTTTACCAATCACTAATGTTCAGCTGATGTGGACGTGGTGCTTGAGCTTCCTGCTCCTCAAAGTCCTCGTCTGATTCCGGGTCCAACACATGCGGCTGAACGCGCTGTATCTCCATGATGAATAAAAGTTTATTCCTGCCACTATCAGGGTGCAGAGCCTACGTCACGTTTGGAGGGCGGAGCCTGAGCTTTCTCAGGACGATCTGTGATGTCTCCAAGAAATCAGTAAGATTTCAGAACTATTGTGTAATGGATGTTCCAAAACCCAAATTGTGCTTGTTTATGTGCAGAAGATACAATGTGAAAAGAGTGATTTTGCACGAGATGGTACCTTTAATTATCATCGTGGTACCAGATTCAGAGTATTGAGTCTGTTCCTTGGTACTGAAATCAGGTGAGACATTTGAGTATGTGAACACGAGCAGAGTTGTGTTCTTACTTGTGTCCGAGCTCGTGAGCCACAGTGAAGGCGAGGGGCAGCCCCGTGTCCTCACTGATGCTGCAGCTGCGGTGGGGCTGGCACATCCCCGCCACGTGAGACAAGCCCAGAGTCTCACACGGAGAATTCACCGATGCACAGATGTCCTTCCTGCAACACAGCAACACCACATTACACTTATGATTTTTTTTATACAATGTTTTTCAATGAAGAGATTTATAACTATACAGCAGATAGTGCAACAAATATACAGCAAATACATTTATACATGAAAAGATTGCAGCATATTCAACTGAAAGTATTATACAGAGTTCACTATTCAAACTATTTACTATTCGCTTATCAGAAATGTACCCACAGGTTGCAGATCAGTGTGAGAGAAGACTAAAAAAAATACTCAACTACTGGAGACAATACGCTGAAATACTTTCTAATGCTCTTATAGTTCGATTTGACCTTCACCTTTTTTAACTATATTTGGTCTTCCAGTTAATACTTTGTTAACTGACAGTACTCATTTCAAAATACTCACGTTTACATCACTTATAAATAGATGTAATATTTTACTTCTCTGGAAACCTGCTGCAGTTCTTTTAATCTCTCAGTGGTTTTGTGATGTTTTAGGATTTCTTAAATGGGAAAAGATTTAATATTGCAACTAAGAACAATAAAGCAAAATGTGAACAGAATTACAGAATAATTAAAATCATTCAAAACTGCCTTTAGATTAATAGACTAATAGACTGTCAAATCCCTCCTACTTTTTTCTCTCTTCTCACTCTTTACCTTTTCATCATCATAATTACAATTGTCTTTTAATTGTTTGACTTTATTTCATTTTTGATCATATCTGGATTTGACACTTATTATTAGAAGTATTAAGATGGTATTTTCTTTTTGAAAATAAGAAAAATGTAAAAGGAAAACAGTGATTAGTAAATCTTGTATGAGTATACTGTTATTCCTTAATAAAAGTATTATAAAAAAATCAAATAAAAAAATTAATAAAAACTAATAATAATAATAATAATAATAATAAAAGTAAATTGTCACACTCTAATCTAAGGGTGTCAAGGCCATCTTAGTGTTAGTGTTAATTCTACTTTAAATATATTTAAATGTGTTTTGTAAAATGAGTAGTCTAACGTGTCTCATGAACTATAACCAGGCCTTATTTGGTTCAAATACGTTCAGCTGTTAATGAAAAGTTAATGAGCCCATATCACACTAGATTTCTATTTGCAAAGCGCTTTCTGCTACATCAAACGTGTCATAGGTGTAGCTGCCGTGTCATCGTTCGTTCGCAGCTTTAGTTCGTTGTCACGTGGGAGGGTGGCAGAAATACGCTGCAATTTGTTAAAAACATTTCGAATCAATCTAAAAAAACACTTCGACAACAAATACAATGACAATATCGATTTTCACGAGCCAGGAAACTGAGCGTCTTGCTCTTCTCTTGCGTCTTCTAGACAGCTTACAATTCTTTACAATTGTGGCGTGAAAAGCTTGAGTCAAACAGGAAAACAAACATAAATAAAATGTACATTAGCTTTACAATATAAAAACAGAAATCCATCTGAAATTAGCTAGCACCACAAACGGTTACACCCTTATCATCAGAAGGTCCACTAGTCAGAAAATCATGACCTCTTCTATTGGTTTGTCAGCAACATTTCTCTTGAACAATTGAATGTATATTTGATGAAAGCAACAGGGAATAATCCCTGGATATCAGGGAAGAATTAGTAAACTTTTGGATGTTTACCAATTAAAAATGGCTGCAACATCAAAATTTTTAGAGATATTGACAGAAAAACACAATCATGAATAACAGCATTAGCTAAGGCCAGCATTACTTCATTTGTTGGTTTACAAACCCACCAATTCTATATTAAAAGAAAAAGATTTAAAATAAAATTGAAATGAAGGTTGTAGAGCTCGAATAACTGAACATTTTGCAAGTTGTTGCCTGAAAATCAGACAATTATTAACCCTGTTCCACTGAAGACAGACATTTCCACCCAAATCATTATTTCCTCAAACATTTTTGCTGTATTTTAAGGGTTTAATATATTTATTACTTTTAATATTTACTTTTTAACATAACTAAATAATAAAACTTGAAATACAATTTCATTTGTAACAGTTTGTAACACGACCTGAACATGGATGTTCTGACTAGAGGCTCTTCTGATGATAAGGCTCACCCCCACAAACTGCTACTTTAACAAGTCATGACATTTTCATGATCTTTTCATATGCTAATTAGGGTGTTAATACTCGTGAATAGAGGTAGTACTATGCTAATACATATTGCTCCTGAGGGCTCGGTCTAATTCCTGGTAATAACATGTGCAAAAAACGATCTCTACAGCCGAGTTTATGGAACTTGTTCAAGTCACCAAACACACATTAAACTTACAGCCGATGCTTTCAAAGGTGTAGATAAGATTTGACACACAGGATGAGCCGTTTTCTGTAACACGTTTTCTCTCACTGACTTCTGCCTCTGTTACCCATAATGCATTGTGACCACTTCCCAAGGCCTTCAAAATAAGATGCAAGTAAACCAAAACTAGAGTGCAGAGCGATTATTTTTAACAAATGGCAAGTTTTTTAGCATGAAATGATAACAGATGAATTAGAACATATTTATTACTAAATTATTATAAACCTTTTTAACTCTTCACTGAAACACACTTTTATTGTGGCAGAACACGTGATGGGTCATTTAAATCATGTGACTTCCACGTCACACGCAAATCCTCAATATATCTTATGGTCAGAGTTCTCACAATAGTATCGTGGACCATCAAAATATATCGAATTACAAAACTTTTAAATACTTAAATAGTTTTGGTGCAGCAGGTCCTTTGCTCCATTTCAGTGCAGACTAACTTTAATAAGCACTTTTAAATCTTAATGCTTTGCCTCCTCCAAATATCACAATAAATATCGTACCATGAGATGCATATGGTGAAGAGATTTGGACTACGTTCAGACTGCAGGGCTTAACGTTCAATTCAGATTTTTTTGTGAAATCCGATGTTTTTTCGAGGTCGTTCACATTTCCAATTAAATGTGACTTGTATGTGACTCCAGTGTGAACATTAAAAGGAAAAAGTGAAAAATGAAAAAATCGGATCTGTGTGGTTCAGACTGTCATGAAAAGATCAGATACAGGAACATAGAAGCCAAAAAATCTGATTTGGGTCACTTCAGGCTGCAGCCTGAACGCAGCCTTGGATATTGTTACATCTTTAGTTTGTAGGAATCTAAATACTCCCCATTTAAGGCTACGTTCAAGACTGCAGCCTTAATCTTTTAATGACAGTCTGAACGACACAGATCCGATTTTTTCAAATGTGACCCAGGACACTTGGACATGTGCTCCTGAAACTGATACATATCTGATCTTTTGACATGTGACTTCAGTCTGAACGGCCAAAGTGCATTCATCACCTACACGTTATCAACAAGACACAAATGTCACAATTCTGCACTGAAGTAGGTGAAAATTGTTAATGAACTCCGTGTCACTGAAGTGAAGCACATCACCACTCACCACTCTTGGCTCCATCTCCACATCCACATGTTCCTTTCAACAGACGTCGCTGCCGCTGCCCCACAAAACACCACGACCAAAAACCTCGTCCTTCTCCTTCTCAGTCTCCATCTTAAAACAAGTAAGATGTTCATGTTCTGGCTCCGGTACGAGAGGAATTTTAAAATCTCCAGGTGCTCGATGCTGCGTCCATGTTTGGACAACTTCCGTAAACACAGAGACGCACATGTGGGACACTTTTGGGCCGTTTACTGTTCACACTGGAGTCACATACAAGTCACATTTAATTGGAAATGTGAACGACCTCACAAAAACATCGGATTTTACAAAAAAAATCGGAATTGACCGTTAAGCCCTGCAGTCTGAACGTAGCCTAAAGGTACTTTACTCGGCTCAATTTCATAAAAAAGTAGTTCTCTGCCACTTGCGTTATTTAGAAGCAGCTCACAGGGGTAAAAGGTTGGAGACCCCTGTTATAGCGTAACATGAGTCCTTCAGATACAGTTCTCATTTTACTGAGGCTGTTGAACGTCGCCTTTCATTCACACACACGAGTTTCTGAGGATTGAGCTGCGTCAAGTGGAATCGTTTTGAATCTCATCAAACCTGCACGAGGTGAAAGTGAAAGGCACGTTCAGAGGAGGAGAGGAGGAGCAGAGGTGGAGCAGTGGAGGGGAGACGTAAACGAGGAGATGTGGAGCAGGGTAGGAGAGAAGTAGAAGAGGAGAGGAGGAGGAGAGGAGGGGTAGCAGTGGAACAGAGGAGCAGGTGAGCTCATGGTCATTTAAAGCTTTCAGGGCTGGCATATGTCCATGTCCCCGCCCCTCAGCGCACACATCCATGTCCCCGCCCCTCAGCACACACATCCATGTCCCCCGCCCCTCAGCACAAACGTCTACGTCCCCGCCCCTCAGCACACAGATCCATGTCCCCGCCCTCAGCACACACGTCTACATCCCCGCCCCTCAGCAACACGTCCAGTCCCCACCCCTCAGCGCACACGTCCCCACCCCTCAGCGCACACGTCCCCACCCCTCAGCGCACACGTCCCCACCCCTCAGCGCACACGTCTGCCTCCCCGCCCCTCAGCACACACGTCCACGTCCCCGCCCCTCAGCACACACGTCCACGTCCCCGCCCCTCAGCAACACGTCCACGTCCCCAGCCCCTCAGCACACACGTCCACGTCCCCGCCCCTCAGCACACACGTCCACGTCCCCGCCCCTCAGCACACACGTCCACGTCCCTGCCCCTCAGCACACGTCCCCGCCCCTCAGCACAGACGTCCACGTCCCCGCCCCTCAGCACACACGTCCACGTCACGCCCCTCAGCACACGTCCCCGCCCCTCAGCACACACGTCCACGTCCCCGCCCCTCAGCACACACGTCCACGTCCACGCCCCTCAGCACACGTCCCCGCCCTCAGCACACACGTCCGCGTCCCCGCCCCTCAGCACACACGTCCGCGTCCCCGCCCCTCAGCACACACGTCCACGTCCTCGCCCCTCAGCACACACGTCCGCGTCCCCGTGCTCTCGTGGTACCTGGTGAGCAGCACAGCGACGTCGTGGTGGAGCGGGTGGTCGTCTCCCTTCATGTTCAGACTTTTCTGCCACTTACAGAAGCTGTTGAGGCTGTGGTCTGCGTGATGTGTGATCTTCAGCTCGTCCTGCACAAACAAACACACACACACACACAGGCAGTTAAAGACACACTTTTAACTTTAGTCACATGGGAAAACACCAAACACTGTTACACACTTCATTACATAAACTACAAAAACTAAATATACGATTGTGTATGATGTGTTAGAAATCAAATTACAAAAGTTAAAGGCCTATTCATAACTTCATAACAACATAAGAACTGGCCTGGCTCTGCCCCGTCCCCTCGCTCTGCCCCGCCCCCTCACTCTGCCCCGCCCCCTCACTCCTATTACCTAAGTATCTCTTCCCGCCGTTTGACTTGAACAGGAGTCATGTTGGTTACGTTTCCCTGTGTTGAAGAGTGAAGAGTCCAGTTGCTGCAGGAGGTTTATATCGAGGGGATTTCTTTTAGTCCTCCAGCCTGACCGTTCTTTTTTTCATGACTTGGATTACGCCAGACTTTTCTACACTGATTTTGGTCTGAGCGTAAGGCTACGTCCACATGACAATGCTCCTGGATTGTTTTTGTTTGTTTTTTTCATGTGTGGATGCGAATTCCACGTGGATCAATAAATATTCCCATCCAGACGACAACGGAGTACTGAGTGAACACAATGTAATACATCTGCTACACCTGTATGTGGCGCTGTTAACAATGATAATAATATTTAATAATGCAAATCTTATCACCGTTTTTTTACTTTAAGGTAATTTTGCCAAATTTAGATCCCACAAATATAGCCGTTTTGTTTTGCAAAAGTTAAACATATGTTTTCGTTTTTAGCCATAAGATTTGGATGAGAATTATTGGAATAACTGGTAACACTTTATAATAACTACACCTTATTTAGCCTTAATAAAGCATGAACAAAGACTTAATTAATAATGAGTCACACTTAGTAACTATTTAATTACTACCTTATTACGCACTTGCACTTAATTTGCCTGTGCTGTAAATAGTTACTCATAATTATTTCATACTTAATTACTCATGAACTAACCATTTGAGCATTTATTAATGATTAGTAAGCTACGAGAGAATGATTTACATATAATGCAATGCAATGATAATTCAGGCAGTTGTTATCTGTTAGTTAAGTCTTTTTGAGAGCTTTCCTAAAGTGAAGACATATTATGCTTTATTAAGCATTTACTAAGCGTGAATCATTATTAATTAAGTCTTTGTTTATGCTTTATTAAGGCTAAGTAAGGTGTAGTTATTATAAAGTGTTACCGAATAACTTGGTCTCAAAATCCAGCAGTTGAATTTCTTGTGTGTAATCTTTGTTATTGGTCCGTGTGTAATCTGTGGTGTGTGTTGTTAGCATTAGCACTAGCAGCGTGTCTTGGTTGCTGGGCGATGGGAGCGGCTCTGTAGATTACACCTGTCACATTTCAGCCACAGTCTTGTGGTCCGTGGAGGCCAGTTCAAGGGCTGCAGCCTGCTCTGTATCAGAGGACCTTGGTGATGAGTCATTACATCATCGTTTTCCAAAAGCTGTGGTTCGCTTGTTCACACGACAACGCAACGTCGACGTTCCCAGACGTTTGACCAAAAAATGTTGCCATGTGGACACGTCCTAAAATGTCAGAGATCTGCCTCAATGACTTTCTTTGGTTTCTTTACCGTCACTGAGCTTCGTGTATTTTGTATTTTCTCACCATTTCCACTAACTGTGACTCAAAACCATCTTTTTTTTTTGTTACACACTGGTGAGGAAGCAGATAAACAATCGCCCACATAAATAACCAATCAGAGCAAAGATGCGGGACAGCATTGTCGAACATTTTGGTACAAATGAAATAAAAAACCTGACAGCATGCGGCGCTTTGTTGTGATGATGCTTAGGGTGAGGCTGTCGGGCTCCACAGTTTCAGCAAACTGTGGATATTTTTCTTTATTAAGTCATTTTAGATCAATATTATGATGTTAATATTAAATTGTTAAAATGCCCAAATCCTAACACAATCCACAGGTTTTATAGATTATAACTATGCAGCAGACACAAGCACGACACTTCTGCTTAAATTTTCTTGTGATATCAAATATTGCATCAGCCAATACTGTGATATTGTTATTTTTCGATGTACTGTGAGGCCGAAACACTCATTTCCAATTCTAAGAACAAATTCTGTATTCAGTATAAGTTGTGTTGAATTACTTTTTCTTGCCGTTTGTGACTTTTCACAGTGTGTAAGTGTAAAACGGACATGATACTGTAGCCTAGAGCAGAGCGTGAGTCATGCTCTGCTAACTGAACACTCGAGTGTACAGAAACAGTACAGAAAGAAGAAGAACAGAAGAAAGAGAAGCCCTGTGCAGTCACCTCCTCCTGCTCCAGCAGAATGAGACGCACCACCACGATGTTGATGGCGTTTCCAATAGTGGCGTCACTGTACAGACCTGACACCTGAAAACACAAGAGGAAAGACATTATTCAAGCAATGGGATTTAAAACATTTTATATTCATTTAGATTTAGACTAAAGAAGACAAATTTGTTATCTGGATAAACTCTGTGCTCAACTTGACTTTAGAACCCAGTGAATAAAGTTCAGTGATCAAAAGTATCTGTAACCTGATTTTAATGAGGGGAATATGCTACATTTGCCCAAAACAACCCATTAATATGTTTTATAAGTTTCACTTTTAACACTCTCCCTTTGCTCTCTGCGCTCCCCCTTCAGAGCACTGTCACAACACAATCCGCATGCTCCTGCTAATGAAACTACTGCACATCTCACCAGGTTTGTGAAGTTATAGTGTATTGTTTTGTATTATAGGCTGAGTCTTGGGTAGGACTGTACTGCTAACAAGAGAAGGGCCCAGGAAAGATCTCTAGATTGCTCAAACATGGATATGTAAAACCTCTTCAGGCAGTTTTTGTTGAGGGAACAATGTCTTCCCTCCACAGAGTGGATCTTTTTGTACATAAAAGTCAGGAATTTAGTGACAGATTCTTTGTTCCCAGACATAATGCAGAGGTGCCCAGACGGAGTCATGGATCCAAGAAAGAAATGTGGCCAAAACTCTTCAAAGTCTGTCAAAGTCTGATCTCTCAGATCTCAGAAGCTGTGCAGGACCGGGCCTGGTTAGGACTTGGATGGAGACACTGGGAATTCCAGGTGCCACAGGAGGCACCAGTGGTAAAAACTCTCGTTGTGTCCTTAGGCAAGACACTTCATCCACATTGTCTAGTATGAAAGTGGTGTGTGTGTGAGTGATGGTGGTAGTCGCAGAGACCGATGATGCAGATTGGCAGCCTCGCTTCCATCAGTCGTCCCCAGGGCAGCTGTGGCTACGGTAGTGATTTACCACCACTGGGTGTGGAGCGCATGAGCGAATGAATAATTCATCAAATCATAACGTGACTTTGAGCGTCTGTAAAAGCTCTGTGTAAGACTAATGTTTTATTATAATTCTTATAGAATGGGTAAATGAATCACATGGGCACACTGTAGTTCTGGTGAATATGCTACTACATGAAATTGCATTTGTTTACAGAACATTTGACTGTGACAGCATCCTTTCCTCATTGCCTCCTTGATTCCTGCTACAAAAATATACAATTGTTTTTGCTGGCACTGCAGAAGATAGTTGGAGCCAAAAGTGTCCGTACAGAGCTGTCCCAGTTCAGCTGGAGCTCACAGGACTATGAGCGGACGTGACACACAGTGCCTGCTTCCTCTGTGTGCAGCATTGTGTTACTCCTGATGCCCTCTGTGCCACTCAAGTCCTTTTCCTGAGGATCTGTGCAGGGTAAGTCCAGAGGAAACTGCAGCTCTGAGGATGCACTGGAGAGGCTCATCACTGTAAAGAAATAGTGACACTTCTGTTCTGCTCAACAGATGTGTGACATGTTCAGAAGAAATCATTAAAGGGTCTGTGACACCAGTTCATGATCTAATGTTCTAATGTTGTTTTCTCATCACAAACACACCTGGAGTTGTGTTTTGTTTGATACACGCATTTCAACACACAAATCCTTGGAACTGTCAATCTCTACTGAACTAAAGATAAAAGGAACTGTTCACTTGAAAACTACAGCTTCATGACATCACAAGGTGGAATAGAGCATTTTTTGAGATGTAGACAGACTAATAATACAGTGTTACTCAAACATGTGTGAATAAAAAAAAAACAACAACACAACTCTAGGTCTGTTTTTGAGGAGGTAACATCATTCTAACATGGCCTGAAGCTCACATGAGTCAATTTTGCCTAATGTGAGAAAGAAATGTACATCACAGATAAACTGACACTGTGAGAACATGAGGAGTGAGCAGGAGTGAGCAGGAGTGAGCAGGAGTGAGCAGGAGTGAGCAGGAGTGAGCAGGAGTGAGCAGGAGTGAGCAGAGGACAAGGAGGTTGTGGTAATGTCCTTTACTTATTTCTACTGCTGACCTCTGCAAACAAGCCCTCGCTTTGCAAACGATGTCTAACATTCTGAACATCACAACTTTCCTGATTAAATAAAAGCTCACAGTGTCACTTTTCTTCTTATCTCCATGGAGACATATTGTTAACTATTCACCTACATTTTCCCAGGGGCCAAAGTTTTCAGCGGGACGTGGCCTCTGGGCTGGAGGTGCACAATCTTCCACCACACTGAACACAGTTTGGGGTCACACAAAATCCTGGATCCTGAACTAGGTTAGCAGTACTGTTCTGTACAAGGCTCCGCCCACAAGTCTACCGCACCCACGCTTCCACACGACAATTCTCCATAAATATACAAAACATGATACAAAACTGTACACAACTGTTTGACAAACCTGATGTGATGTGCAGTCGTTTCATTAGTGGGATGCACGTTGACTGTGTTGTGAAACACTCTGAAGGGGGAGTGACTTATCATGGAGAGCTAAGGGAGGGTGATAAATAAAAGGGAAACTTAAAAGGTAACATGGTGCTCTAAATATGTTACATGTAATAGCCCCTCTTTAATAAGTGCAAGGGTTAGTGCAAAGATGAGCCTCACCCAGAGGCGACATGAAAACATGAAAACATGAATCACACGCTTCTGTGGCAGATGCTCATTGTTCTACGTGAAGGTTACAAACACTATTGTCTGTGTGAAGGGAAACAGCTTGAACAGATCATTACACCTCAGCATGTGGCCTCATTGTCATAGTAACATTGTTTTTATTATTGTGAAAACATGTCAAAAAATGTGTGCAGAGCACACGAGGATGTGGAGATCAATCCAGATTATAAATATCACCGGTCAGGTTTAAAGAGCCGCAATTACACACAACTGACTCTTAGGAACTTTCAACTTATAATTCTGTTACCTCCTCAAAAACAGACCTGGAGTTGTGCTTTGTTTCATTCACACATGTTTGAGTCTTTATTCTTTATTATTATTAGTTTGTACATTTCCAAAGCTCCAAATGTTCTGTTCCACCTTGTGATGTCATGAAGCTGTAGTTTTCAAGTGAAATGCTCTTTTTACATTTTGGTTCAGTAGAGATTGGCAATTCTAGAGCTGAAGTGATCCAAATGATTCTAGTGAGGGCGTATGAAGTTTAAAAAGACAATGAACCATTTCCTGTATTACCACATTTCCATTTTTAGAAGTAAATCTGCAGAGTTTGTGTGTGATGAAACAAAACAAAAGTCCAGGTCTGTTTTTGACGAAGAAACATTATAACATAGATCAGAAAATAGCCTAATATGGGCCCTTTAAAGCTAAAATATAAAATAAAAACAGAAGGTAAGTCATGGAAGAGAACTACAAATACTAGTCACCACAAACAAACAAACAAACAAACAAACAAACAAAACAATATACAGCAGGATGTAGCGTTGTCAAAAGTTTGGAAACTCAGATACTAACTGATACTAAAACTAGTATTGAAAACTAGTCACTCTTTTGAGCAGGAATCATACTAAAATGTTCCTTTTCCAGGATAAAAATGAGCAGTACCCCACCTTTAAAGTTGCAGTAAGTTTTCTGATGAAGTGTAGGTCACCTACTTGTCATGGGGATATTACTGCCTTGTCTAGAATATTCCACAGCATTGTTTCCCAAAGCCTGGGTCGCGACCCTCAGGTGGGTCATTAGAGATTTTTTTTTGGGTCACCATGTCACAATCATATACATATATCTCTGTGTACCCCTGCTGCTCACTTTTTTTGCAGCACTGCCTCGCCAATTTTCTGTGGAAAACACTGATTACTGTTTTTCCTTATTTAAAAATTGAGTACTGTATTTTCGGACTATAAGATGCACTTAAAATCCCTTAATTTTCTGAAACATTGACAGTACACTGATGCTGTATTAATTCTGCTTACTGACCTCAAATAGATTTTCACACATATTTCGTTGAGTCGTGTTCTTTAGTCGGCTTTAGTCCTACAGAATCTGAACTGCATCAGCGCACAAGGAGCGAGCAGTTTTTAATCATTTAGAGTTTATGCAAATGAGCAATGTGTTTTTAAGTTTTTGTAAAATGTAAACAAATGTGCTCAAAGCTGCATTAAACATATTATCACTCAGTATATATTTGAGTCGTCCTCGCAGGAAATAAAAAAGTCTCAAATCTCAAGTGTCGTGTGTTTGTTTGTCTTAATGCACCTTATAATCCAGTGCATTTTATGTATGAAAATAGACGACATAATTCAACATTATTGATATTGTGCCTTATAATCTGGTGCACCTTGTAGTCTGAAAAATACAGTAATACTATTTGTTCAGAGAAAATATCCTCATTAATGGTCACAAGTTTATTTTGTGATTTACGAATAATGTCTATTGACTTGGGTCGAGAAAATTTGTGACTTTTAAAATATGGGTTCCCAGAAAAAAAGTTTGGGAAACAGTTTCACTGCATTATACCTATGACTAGGGTGACCATATTTCCGTTTGTGAAAACCCGGACACCTTACCGGGGGTGGGAGGTGGGGCCTTGACACTGAGCTACAGTCGTCCCTCGTTATTTCATGGTTCATCTTTCGCGGTCTCGCTGTTTTGCAGACTTTTTTTTTTGTGTGCAATTTTGCATGTTTTTTTTTTTTTACAGCGTTTGAACGCGTATTGCGTAGTACAGACGGGTAGTAATTACACACTGGTGAGTCAGGACTAAACCAGATCTAAACCAGGACTAATCTTGGACTTAAGAGAGAGACCGCTGAGCAGTTTGTCCACAAACTGCGCTCGGGCGATGGCCACGTTTACCTCCGTGAGGTGCGGAGCTGAGCCGGTCCTTTCTCCTGTGGTCATCTCCAAGCCCGTCTGGTTTACTCCTGTTTTAGTTCTAGTTCAGTTCTGGTTTAGTCCTCCTCTTCAGTCCTGGAATCAGTCCTAGGTTAGTCCTGGGTTAGTCTTGGTTTAGTCTTGGTGCATTTGTGCTTCAGCATGTTGCAGACTGACCGACTGTTTGTGTCTGCTCGCTCCTTCTTAGTCACAGATGCTACGAGAGACGCTCAGTTTAATGTCCTCAATGAACGGTAATGAAAACCCGGACATTTCCACCACTTAAAAAAAAAACCCGGACGCCCAGGACAGGACGCAAAAAATGGACGTTTGGTCACTCTACCTATGACCAGTGTTGGGGAGTAACGGATTACATGTACCGCCGTTACGTAATCAGAGTACAAATTATGAGTAACTGTATTCAGTTACAGTTACTGTTTCAATGAGTGGTAATTGGATTACAGTTACTTTGCTGAAATAAATGGATTACAAGGCGGTATTTTCCTGTTTTCACATTTTGTGCTACCTCGCATTTATTTATTTTTTTATTTCGGTAATTTTACTCATTGCTGGAAACCCAAACAGAACGCGCGCAATAAGAGCGATGTAAACGTCATGTTAAAGTTGGCAGTGTCAGTCACACAGTGGAAGCAGCAGTGCATTGGTAAAAACGCATTTGTGTCTTGGAAATTTTTCTCCCGATGTGAGATATATATAAAAAAAACAAATATAAAATCGCCTACAACTTAAATGTGAAACAAGAGCTACTGGCACTGGTGAAAACAACCTGCATAGACTCATAATATCTGCACTACTGTCATATAGTGACCTGCCACATGAGGGGACACACACACAAACACACACAAACACACACACAAACACACAAACACACACCTTCATCATCGTCATCAACCTGAGAACCCGCGGACCACGTCTCCTTCCGTAGTTACAGCGCGGACACCGACGTCTCGTGCGCCGCGTGTGGACCGTGTATTCTCGCGTAAACCGCGCTTCCCCCTGTGCGCCTCTAAACCAGAACTAACACCAGGACTAAACCAGGACTAAACCAGGACTAAACCAGGACTAAAGCAGGACTGAACCAGGTTTAAAATAGGACTAAACCACGACTAAACCAGAACTAAAGACCTGGTCTAGACCTGGTCTAAACCAGGTCTAAAAATCAGGACTAAACCAGGACTAAACCAGGACTAAACAACATGACACCTAACAGTAGGTTGACATAATTTAAGATGATCTCATATAAAAAATTATTTCTCTATCAATAATATTTTTTAATATGGTGAAGGAAAGGCTGATCTTGTTTCTGTCTTTTAACAGACAAAACCTCTTATATTAAGATCTCGTGGTCTTTGTTTCTCTACAGTAAACAGTTGCTTATTCATTTAGACTTGGGCTCAGACAATTTGAAGACAACAAACAAGAATTTTCAGGATGTGGTTGCTACATTCATGTCGTTTAAAAAAACATGACAATATCAAGTAATCCAAAGTATTCAGATTACGTTACTCACTTTAAGTAATTTAATGGATTACGTTACAAACTACATTTTGGGGTGTGTAATCTATAATCTGTAGGGGATTACATTTTAAAAGTAACCTTCCCAACACTGCCTATGACAGATAACCTAGGACCTAAGACAGACCTAAGACAGACACTCAAAGCACATTTTTCAAGATATTTTGGAGCAATAAAAGCACCTGTGAAGGCAAGATGCAGAAAGTTTAATGCCATACAGTGGAACATTCCAGGCAAAGCAATAAGATGAAGCATTAGTCGAACCTCCCACCCCAAAAGTTCCACAGTGCACCTTCATGTTATGAGACAAAAGAGAAGTAGTGCTGAGCCATCGACTCACAATGTTCATGATGGCCAGGACGTATCCCTCCACAGCCTTGCTCCCGTGGTACTCCACCATCTTGTGATCCGCCACCACCAGCGTCTCCACCCAGCGCTCGGAGCTGATGGAGCGAGGGCGGATCCGACGAGTCCTCCTCTGCCTCTGCTCCCAGCGCTCCCTCTGCCGCTCCAGCCGCTCCAACGACGCTGAGGGGAGAGGAGAGGGAAGGTCTGAGTTAAGGGTGCCTCCTGAAGGACGACTTTAGTGCACATTTGAGCCACAGATGTCAGACGTCACAGTATTTTGCCCTACACAAGTGTAAAACTGCACATTCTGGACACATATTTTTGAGAATGTATTATAAACAGGTTAAAAAAGACTTTGAAATTGATTTATGATAATCCTTGTGTTTGCCACGGTCAGCCTGTACAGACGCTCAATATAAGTCTATTCAGCCGGCTATTCAGTCCTCCATCTGTCTTTCCCCTCAAACAAAGAGCATTGGCATCATTCTTTACAGTACACTTTCATTTCAATCCCATATCAACAATATCACAAAGTCGTGCGTATTTTCACCTCAGAAACATCATCCGCCTCCGCCGCTCCCTCACCCCTCACACTGCTGCCATCCTCGTCCACAGCCTGGTCACCTCTAGACTCGACTAACTCCCTTCTCCTCATAAATCACTCCACAAGTTACAACTCTAACGGAACTCAGCTGCTCAAATCATAACCAGGGGTCTCTTTTATAAAACTCATTTACGCACAAATCCTTGCGTAGGCGCTCTTTACGGCAACTACAGCATTTATGAAACTTGTACTAAGCGCTGCACTTTGCTTCTCTCTACGGCAGCCCAGACTTTGCTGTAACTTCTACACAAAGTCTGGAGACACAGGGAAAAAGTGACACTCGTGGAGAAGAGCAGAAGTGAAGAGAGTTTAAGGAAGAGTTTGATCCAATCCAGGGAATCAATCCACATATATAAAAGAATTACATTGAGTTTTCTGCATTTAAGCAGAGATTAGCCAAAACATGGAGAAGGGCTGTTTATTCCAGTCATTATTCTCCACAATATTATTCATAAACTTGTGCATGAGTGCGTGCACTTTCCCGGTGCAGCAGGGTTCCGCAGTCTGCGCTGTGACAATAGACTTCTACAGAACACAGTCTGTGGCTGTGACCAACACAGAGAGGATGAGATAATGACTGGACCTGAGAGCACAGGAGCCAGGCTTCGGTTTAATGAAGCTCTGGGACTAAACGCAGCTCCGACACCGAGCGTCAGAGTGACCCGAGTCCACGCACGACACAAAGCCTACTGACCCAAACCTTACCCGAGCCCATAATATTCCCTCCATTTTTGTGTAACTAGCAAAAGGTCCTGTGCCCATCTCCACCCAGGCCCACACACTCACAGAGGAGAGCACAGCGCGGTTGTTTCATGTGAACTTGGCAGAATAACAGCTCCTTTTATGTATGATATATGTGTATGTCTGATGTGCTACATGTTAAATCTGTGTTCTACCTGCTGAAGTGCTCATCTCCTGACCGCTGATCCACCTATCCCTCCCTCACTCCTTTCACTCTCCAGGGGAGGGCATCTGAATCTCTCACATGCGCTCATAGCCCCCTCCTCTCAGACCTCCGCATGCACACTTCTACTAGTGTATGTGCATTCAGAGGGCCAGTCCCCACACACATCACACTTCAAAATATAGTGATAAAACTACAGCGAGAAAACACATCAGCTTCACTGCAAAGATGTACTGCCTAAATATTATGAAATATGATTCAATGAACAGATGAGTCATTCATTTGTTAAACCTTGTTTAAGTCTTTGTCGTGATCACGTGGTGCTGTGTGGAGCGTCCTCCTCCCTCTGTCCCGCGTGTCTCGCTCAAACTCACTGATTATCTGCTCATGTTTAGAGAAATCTCAGTGTTGGGGAGTAACAGATTACATGTACCGGAGTTACGTAATCAGAGTACAAATTATGAGTAACTGTATTCAGTTACAGTTACTGTTTAAGTGAGTGGTAATTGGATTACAGTGGATTACACAGCAGTATTTTCCTGTTTTCATATTTTGGGCTATTTTTATTTTATTTTTTGTAATTAAACCAGGTCTAAAACCAGGTCTAAAACCTTGTCTAAACCAGGTCTAAACTAGGAATAAACTAGGACTAAACTAGGACTAAACCAGGTCTAAAATAGGATTTAACAGGACTAAATCCTGCTGCATGGACGTGTCTTCTCTTCTTCTATCAATAATATTTGTAATACAGTTCAGTAAAGTCTGGGCTTTTTATTTTCTTTTAGCAGACAAAACATCTTATGTGAAGATTTCCTGGTCTTTGCTTCTCTACAGAAAATAAGTAATCCAAATTATTCAGATTACATTACTGACCTAAAGTAATATAATGGATTATGTTACAAACTACATTTAGGGGTGTGTAATCTGTAGGGGAATACAGAATACAACACAAAAAGTAACCTTCCCAACACGGTGAGTCACTTTGCTCTTTTTACAGTGAGGTGCAGGTGTGGAGAGAGTGTGACGTGACGGGAGTTCACATGTGCGGTTTCTAGTTGCAGGTGGATTTCTAAAGCACAGATTGTGTGGTTCAGTGTGTGCGGTGGGTTTTCTAGATTTACAGTTTGAGTGGTATTCCTAGAGGCCACGAGAGGCTTCTAGGAACACACACTAATTTAGCACAACTCCTACACAGTCGTTTATAAATGAGGCCCCAGGACACCCTCCATCAACCACATCACTCCAGTCCTCCAGCAGCTCCACACGCTTCTGCTTCACTTCCAAATTCAGTTCACAATTCTGTTACTCACCTTTAAATCAATTCAGAATCTGTCCTCCACCTGTCTCCATAATCTCCTCCATATCATGACATCCCCTCGCTCTCTCTCTCTCCTCCTCTTCCTCTCTCCTCTCTCTCTCTCTCTCTCCTCTCTTCCTCTCTCCACCTCTCTGTCCTCTCCTCTCTCTCTCCTCCTCTTCCTCTCTCCACCTCTCTGTCCTCTCTCCTCCTCTTCCTCTCTCCACCTCTCTGTCCCCTCTCCTCCTCCTCTCTTCCTCTCTCCACCTCTCTGTCTCTCTCTTCCTCCTCTTCCTCTCTCCATCTCTCTGTCCCCTCTCCTCCTCTTCCTCTCTCCACCTCTCTGTCCCCTCTCTTCCTCTCTCCAACTCTCTGTCCCCTCTCTTCCTCCTCTTCCTCTCTCCACCTCTCTGTCCCCTCTCCTCCTCTTCCTCTCTCCACCTCTCTGTCTCTCTCTCTCTTCCTCCTCTTCCTCTCTCCACCTCTCTGTCCTCTCTCTCTCTCTCTCTCTCTTCCTCTCTCCACCTCTCTGTCCCCTCTCTTCCTCCTCTTCCTCTCTCCACCTCTCTGTCCTCTCTCTCTTCCTCTCTCTCCTCTCTCTCTCCTCTCTCCTCTCTTCCTCTCTCCACCTCTCTCTGCTCCTCTCTCTCCTCTCTCCTCTCTCCTCTCTCCATCTCTCTGCCTCTCCTCTCTCTCTCTCCTCCTCTTCCTCTCTCCATCTCTCTGTCCCCTCTCCTCCTCTTCCTCTCTTCAGCTCTCTGTCCCCTCTCCTCCTCTTCCTCGTCACCAGGGGGCAGAACATTTAGTTGCTCTGCTCCTCAGCTCCTCAAAACACATTTATTTAAATTAACATTAATGACGATGGTGATGTTTTAGAACCCGTCCTGTATTGTTTGATTGTTTTTAATTATGTGTCTTAATTGCTGTTTGCACTGTGTCCTTGAGTGCCCAGAAAAACATCTTTAAATAAAACGTCTTCCCCATTGATAAAAGCAGAGCCGGTGTCCTGACGGAGCTGAAAATGAGGCGTCAGTTTACAGTCTTTACAATTATGAATGTTTTTAAAATGTGCTCTGAAGCTGGAGATAAGATAAGCTCTTATTGACTCCAAATGGACAAATGTGTCTTGGACATCAGGGCCAAAAGAAAAAGACATTGCATGTTGCTGTAATCACATCCACACCAGCGATTTCACAATCCTCCATGGCCTTAAAGTACAGTTCTGTTGCACTCTCCCACGCTGTCTAAAAGTGCACTTAAAAATCACACTGCTCTCCATATGTTCTTGAGTAAAGTCTGTACATCCACTGCAGCATTTCCCCAAAGAACTAAAAGTGCTTCTCTTGATTATCATTATAACATGACCTGTTTCAACACCACATCCTCACATACCTCTGAGCCCACACGTCCCGTTGTAGCCGGCTGCCCTGGTGCCTGGAGCTACAGACGGGGCAGACGCGGACGGGGTGGACGGGCAGACAGGGCGGACGGGGCGGACGGGGCATCATGGCGTCTGTAGATGGCGTGGGCCTGGGCTGCGGTTCCCTCCTGGTCGGACTGTTCCAGAGGCTCCATGAAAAACTCCTCTTCAGAAAACTTAAACATCCCTGTCTAAAGAAAAGCACACACATGAGCAAAAAACCCAAAACAGAACAATATTATTTCTCACATTCAGCACTGGTGACTTTTTAAATACATTTTTGTGCACAAATATTTTCATTTGTCATTTTGAAGTGTTATTTGCAGACATATCTAGATAGAGGTTTGTTATTGATTTGATGTCCTTGGTCAGTGGCCTGTCACATCCAGATTGATGTGTCTGTATTATTCACACAGAGGGAGAGGGGAGGGGGAGATCAGTCTGGTCCCCACGCCCTCTGAGACTCTGTGACTCTGTGACACCAGAGGAAGAACCACATGTTTGTGTAATCACATTTGTTTATTTCAGTGATACATGTGTAATAAAGAAGATCATTGGTCACCATCATTTACAAGACAAAATGACATTTCTCTGACCTCAGACCTGAACACACTCTTATGTTTTGATCATTGATTCTGCACAAATCATGTTTATTTAGTCCCATGCGAAATGTCTTTCTTTTCTTTTTTTCCTCATGTACAGTCGTTTTCATTTTGATACAAATGGACTTTGCATGTCCCTGATTGGTTAATCCACCTGTCAGTCACACTCATCTGAACTCGAGGAGATTCAACAGTGACTGACTCATATCTGTGTAAAGTATTGGAGAAGGATCCCAGGTAATGAAATACTGTATCTCTATGTCCATGGAAGTGAAATGGTCTTAAACAAACATCTGTGTGGAGACATAAGAACCATAAATAAACATAAATAACCATAAATAACCATAAATAACCATAAAGAACCTGAGGAGAAGGATTCTACACGCGTGTATGTATTCAGTGCATTTATTCATTAGTGCTTGTGCAGTGTTGCACATGTTTGTGTCGACAGCCCAGTGCTGCAGAGAGAAGATCACAGAGTGTGTGTACGTCTCCATGCGTCTGTCTTAAATATAGACTCTATAGACTTATGAATTGTGAAGTGCCCCTGGCACAGGCTGCACACACAGATGTGTCACGTATGACTGTCATTAAATCCATTCACATGTTCAGACAGGTCAGGAGTGACGTGCTTTCCTCCACAGAGATCTCATTGTTTTGCCTGAAATGTTCCACATTGTATTAAACCTATTTGTTTCCATGGAGACAAGCAGGTGATGCCACCACCAAGTAACAGATCAGATCAGTGAAGAGGTGAACATACTCACAGTAAGAAAGAATATCTGAAATGAATTATTTTAGCAAAATAAACCAAGAATAAATCAAAGTTCCACAGTGCACTTTTATTGTTATATAAGTTCAGCTTTTACAGACCTGAACGATTGTGACTGACCTCGAGCTCTGTACTCAGAGTGAGTTATTACCTTCAGGAAGACGTTTCAGGGTCTCACACTGATGTATGAAAAGTCTTAGGAAGAAACTGTATGAACTGAGCAAAAACCACATAAAAACATGTTTAAATAAAACTGTAGTTTCCAGCAGCTACACATTTTACCTTTTGTAGAGAGAAAACATGGACTCTATCTGCAAGTTTAGGCACTGGACACCCAGGTTCAGCAGTGATTGTAGTAGACTACTGTTAAAAGTGCAGGCTGCGTACACTTCCTTTAAGAGCTCTTTTGTTCTAGTGTCTGTTAGACTCCTGAAAAAACACTAATAACTGTTAGATCCTGCACACTGCACTTTACTGTGAAGTGATGAATTGTGCCTTGTATCCTGTAAAATGCACTTTTGCAAAATGCTTTTAAAATATAAACATGTTGATAAAATACAGTATTGAGTAGTTTTTTACAAAATTATTTTGTGACAGTTTACAGTTTTGATATTTCTTCAGAAAAAGTTAATATGAATATAAACAAGTTAATATGAAATAAACTTGTTCATACAGTTATGACCAGTTTATTTCATATTAACTTGTGGTCAAAATGTGTTTGGTTCTTAAAAATCGGGATATGTTGCAGTATAGGATGTGTAATATACTGTATTATTGATGATCACATGTATGTACATTGTGATAATATCGTACCATGAGCCAGTTATGGAGGATCGTACTGAGCTGTGACTGGCCCTGTGGTTCCCGGCCGTACTGCAGTGTTGGTGGAGGCATGGGTGGATATTCAAAGACAAATTTCCCACAAGAGGTGAGATAAAGTAAATGTTGAACGGTGCCCTGTTATTAGTGTTCATAAATCATGTTGAGGTGGACAGGTGCAAATGACACGGTGAAAAAGATAATGACACCGGACACACTAATGGCTCATAAATACTGATAATTACAGCTTAGTGCTCAGACAGAGAGCTCACAAAAATCAAGGCCAAATGTAAGTGAGTCTATTAAGAATACAAAACATATAAACCTAACTGTAGATTCTGTTTTATCAATGACAAATACAGGTGTGCAAAAATATCAATATATCAATATATCACATTGTTTAATGTGATGATACAGTATCGATATCGTGGGCTGCTGTATCGATATATCACCAAGAAGATTTTATGGTGTTTGCTTGTTTAGTGGACGGCACATTTGACATTTTCACAGTTTTAATGAATACAATTAGATTTTTTCATATGAACTTTACACAAGAAGTGGTTTAACAAAGACTTTTAATATCACAGCCGTTATTTAATCATTATTTTTTATTGAACGGTACCAAAATGTATTTAAAATATATCATATTGAATCAAAAGCTCACTGTATCAAGGTATATTGTATCGTGGCCTACGTAATGTATTGTAATGTACTGTAATGTAATGGGCAAATCGGCAGCCTGAATGACACCCAAACCACATGATCTTACCTGCAGACACTAGTTACTGTCTACACCAGGTATCACCAGCACGGTGCCCACAGGCACCAGGTCACCCCCAAGGACTACATGAGTCGCCCGCAGGCCTGTTCTAAGAACAGCACAACTCACTAGTGCACTGCATCTAAAACTCTAATTTTATTCTGTTGCTCTTCTTTTTTAATCACCCTTGTATTTATATATAAAAAAACCAACATATTAAAAATATGTTCATCATACATGAAGTTTAGATAAACCATTTAGATGAGTGAGCTGTTTTTTTTTTTTTTTTTTTGTTATCAGTGCTTACAGTTTATGCAGATGCGTCTCTACAGTGGTTATGGTTTATATGTTGTAAATTTGAGTTTATTTATGCAGAAGACTTTAATGAAGAATCTGCTGCAGTAGAACTTGTACAATAGTGTTTGGAAACGTGGGGTTTGATCTGTGCAGTGGATTGTGGGAAACCTCAGAGCTTCTTACACTGGTGAGGAACCTCCTGAGCTTCCTCTGCTTTTCCTGGGTTATTAAATATACCATTTTTGCACTTGTTAAGATTATGTCAGTAAACTGGGACAGTGTTTTTATAATCAGGACACTTGTGTGTGTGTAAACACACTCACAGAAGCACTGATGACAACTGGAACATTCTACTTAAAAATGTAACAATTACTGAGATGAATAAAGTGAAAGTGTTGAATATTGATCTGTGTTTTCCACCTCGCTGTCATTGTTGATAAGTATTGTGAGAAATTATTAACATAATCAGTGTTTTTACATAGATGATTATTAATAAGGTATAACTAAAGACAAACTGAACAAATGTGTTATTTCAGAAGAGAATATCAAACTGTTGCCCTTCGTATGACTCAGTACTCATGAAGTAGCTCTCAGTTTCAAAAAGGTTGGTGACTTCTGGTCAGCAGACTTCTCCTGTTCCTTCAGCTGATGTTCACTCTGTTCACGTTGGTTCATAATGAAGCTCTTTTTAATGAAATAACTTATGTCCGTGACACGTGCATCAGCATCTGCATTAGGTCCATGTGTTTACTGTGCTAATGAACACCTCTGCTGCTCTGACATGAGCACAGTCACAGCTACATGGACACATTCTCAGTGAGATCATGTGAGGAGAAGACAACTCACAACCAATCAACAGAAACAATTCACTGATGTACGACCATTGTGGAGCTCAAAACAAACAGTGATCAAGCGACCAACAGAAAGGAGCTCCTAAGACAAACTAAGACAAAGACCTGCACTTGAACTAAGACAAAGACCTGCACTTGAACTAAGACAAAGACCTGCACTTGAACTAAGACAAAGACCTGCACTTGAACTAAGACAAAGACCTGCACTTGAACTAAGACAAAGACCTGCACTTGAACTAAGACAAAGACCTGCACTTGAACACAGCTAGAAAACTAAAGACATCATCATTGATTTTATAGGGAAAAAAAAAAAAAACAAAAGAAAAAAACTCACAATGGGGCCAGCCCTGTGTTCCCTCATTTATAATATGTTTCTTATTCACACAGGAGAGCAGTCACTTACAGATCACCTGTTCCTGGCACATAAAAGTTTTAAGGTTTAAGTGAACTGAATAATAATGAAATATTTTGCCTGTGTAGAGTTTGAATGTTCACTGTTCACAGTGTTGGGAAGGTGACTTTTAAAATGGATTCCCTACAGATTACAGATTATATACCCCTAAAGGTAGTTTGTAACGTAATCCATGAAGTTACTTAAAGTGAGTAACGTAATCTGAATACTTTGGATTACTAGATATTGTCATGGTTTTGAAAACTACATGAATGTAACAACCACATCCTGAAAATTCTTCTTTGTTCTCTTCAAATTGTCTGTTGAGCCCAAGTCTCCATGAACAGACTTTTGTTTACTGTAAAGAAACAAAGACGAGGAAATCTTCACATAAAATGTTTTGTCTGATTAAAGACAATAAAAAGACCAGTCTTTCCTTAAGCATTTTAAAAATATTATTGATAGAGAAAAGATTTATATATATGAGATCACTGCTGCCTTCAATTATGTCCACCTGCTGTTAGTGTCATAATGTTTACACCTGATTTATTCCGGGTTTTAGTCCTAGTTTAGTCCTGGTGTTAGTTCTGGTTTAGAGGTGCACAGGAGGTCCCTCTCTTCTATAAATACAAAGTGATGTCTGAATTGAGAAAACACTTTTTACCTTTTACCTTTACCTGTGCACTGCTGTCTCTGTTC